GAGCTGGGCTTGGCCCCGGGGCGACAGCGGGATCGTTTTACTGCCCGCCGAGCTGGGTGTGCCTGGCTGCCTGCCCACCCCTCCGAGCAGGGAAGGGCCGCGGGGAAGGGACAGGGACACACCTGGCGCCGTGTCCCCGCTCCGGGCCTCACCTGGGCACAGCTGGGACGCGGGTGGCACGGGGGGAACGTGGATGGCACAGATGGGACGTGGATGGCACAGATGGGACGTGGGTGGCACAGATGGGACGTGATCCCTGAGCTCCCCTGGGCTTCTCTGGCCCCTCCAGGCCCCTCTGAGCCTCTCTGGGCTCCTCTGAGCCCCTCTGAGCCTCTCTGAGCTTCTCTGAGCTCCTCTGGGCTCCTCTGAGCTCACCTGGGCTTCTCTGAGCCCCTCTGAACTTCTCTGACCCCTCCAGGCTCCTCAGGGCTTCTCTGAACCCCTCTGAGCTCCTCCAGGCCCCTCTGAACTCCTCTGAGCTCCTCTGAGCCCCTCTGAACTCCTCTGAGCTCCTCTGGGCTTCTCTGAACTCCTCTGAGCCCCTCTGAGCTCCTCTGAGCTCCTCTGAGCCCCTCTGAACTCCTCTGAGCCCCTCTGGGCTTCTCTGAACTCCTCTGAGCTCCTCTGAGCTCCTCTGAACTCCTCTGAGCTCCTCTGAGCTCATCTGGGCTTCTCTGAGCCCCTCTGAACTTCTCTGGCCCCTCCAAGCTCCTCTGGGCTTCTCTGAACCCTCTGAGCTCCTCTGAGCTCCTCTGAGCCCCTCTGAACTCCTCTGAGCTCCTTTGAGCTCCTCTGAGCCCCTCTGAACTCCTCTGAGCTCCTCTGAGCCCCTCCGAGCTCCTCTGAGCCCCTCTGGGCTTGTCTGAGCTCCTCTGAGCCCCTCTGAGCTCCTCTGGGCTTCTCTGAGCCCCTCTGAACTTCTCTGAGTTCCTCTGAGCTCCTCTAAACTCCTCTGGCCCCTCCAGGCTCCTCTGAGCTCCTCTGAACCTCTCTGAGCTCCTCTAAACTCCTCTGACCCCTCCAGGTTCCTCTGAGCCCCTCTGAGCCCCTCCAGCCCCTCCAACCCTTCCAGACTCTTTGGGCTCCCCAGGCCCAGAGTTCCCCCGGCAGAGCCCCCCCGCCTGTTCCCTGAGGACTCTCCGTGTCTCCCAATGCCCACCTGACCATTGGAATACCTGGGGGGGAACACAGGGAACACATCTGGAATGCCCGGGGGGGAACACAGGGAA